CCTCTGCCAAGTTATCGTCAACGGCTACTACGTGAAAAATGACCTGAGCGTTGCCAATCGCTTACTTCCGGTCCTAAACGTTGTGCCACCACTTTGATATTTGTAATGCAGTGCCTAGCGATTTTGCGTGTTTGTTTACACAACGTTGTCGACAGTTCCGAGCTAAGGCCAAGTAAACAGGCGAGCTACAGCGTTCGCTGGCACAATCGCTCTGGATGAGACGCAAAGGCAAAAGCTATGCATAAAAACCAGCGATAATAGAGCAATTTTTGCCACGTCATTATTTTTGTAGTTGCTGCAGAATATCAAGTGTGGGTAATCAAATCGAATCTAAAAATGCGCGCCGATGATCATTAGATCAATTCGTAGATGCCATTTCTTTAGATCACGAAAAACTTTCACTACGAGCCTATAAACCGATCATCAACAGAAGAACCGGTTATTATATAACTTTCAAATTTAAAAAAAAACTATTAATACAATACAATCTCTTCACTTTTTCTTAACGCATCTAGATTTAGGCGCCACATAAGATATTTGTTTATTCTCTTCCGACGTGTCCGCTTCCGGCACAGAAACCATCATCAGCGAAATTTTTCATAACGTGTACAGAAAAATCAAATTCCGAAAATAAAACACGAGGTAACCAATTTAGCAATTCTTTATTCATCCACCAAAAAAAATCCACGTGAAAAAGGCAGCGTTTTGACAGGAAAATTTTTAATCTATTTAAAATATTTTGTGTGATGCTAGCTTTTCTGCTGATATCACATAATCGGGTTGTCTGTTGTACAGATCAGCTGTCTAAAATACACGTAGCTTGGTACCTGTCCAAATTAAGGTTCGCTTAAATAATTGAACAGGTAGCGGGATGATTTATTGGTCACATTCATTTCAATCCTATTTTGATGCTCTCGTCTTTGCAGTTCTTCTGCTGCTAGCTGACCTTAAGAAAATCATCCCGAGAATACGGCCAGCAAACCGCAGATGGCTAACGTATTGTCAATTTAAGTTCAGCCGCTGATCCTTGGAACGAAGTATATTGAAAGCCTCTATTACATATCAGTTTTGTGACTGGGCCCCAACTTTCACTGATAATAACAGATGTCTATTCTGATACGCAAGATCGGGTCAAAGTGACAACGATGCGGTTGAATTTGATGCGAGCATTATACTTTGTTCAGAGAGTTCAACGTTTTGATGCCAATTGAAAAATTGGTACTGTTCGCTTGTTGGCCATAAATACCTTCAAGCAGTCATTTGCACTCAGTCCAGCCATAATGATGCTACGGTCTGCGCAGTGAAACGCGTTAGCATTAAAACTGTTTACCATCTGCTGCCTTTTGTTCCCCAACCATTAATCATTCAAATAACTATGTAAATAACTAGGGGCCCAGAATCAGAAAGCTGAAAAATTGTTTATTAAAGCCTTCTAATATCTTTACCAATGCTTCATCGTTATATTTCAACACTTTCACCGTAATGCCTTGTTCTGCAATAGCTTTTCCTCGTTTTGCCTGTTTAATTGCATGCCGCACTTCTTGTGACAAGATATCTGAAATTTCATCAACTTCACTTTTATCCTCAGCTTGCTCAAAGTCGTCACAAAATTTGTTGCCGTTTTCATATATGCAGAATTTTTTGCACAAAAGCTTTCAGCTCCCTTTAAATCTCTCGTATGTACATAAAAATAGTTTCCTCTTCAATTCTCAAAGCTAAAATTTGTCGTTTCCCGACCATAAATACATGGTTCAATTTCTTTATGCATTGTTTTCCATATTTTGCTTCACTGATCAACAGTCGAATGATCGGACGTGTTCTTTCATGAGCCTTCTTTCAATTTCCCTAAGTTCCACGTATTCACGGGTCTTTAATTACCAACCTGTGTTAGTTTATTCAATACGGTTTGAAAATGCATGGTCTAGCTAATCAAATGCTTGTCTTGTGCGGCGGTGTCAGTCGAACAATTCAGGCTCACCGTCGCTGATCAGCTCATCGCAGAACGGTTCAGTGAATCGTTGATTGAGAGCTATGACCGATCTGCGTTCTCTGCTGTCGTCCAGCAAAGCGATGCGTTCGACGGGAGCAGTGAGTGGCTTCACATTTGGTTTTGCGTCCGTCAAGATGTCTCGACCCCTCTCTCTGCCGTGCCAAGCAACGACAGCCTCTTTAAATGCTTTTTTGCACAGCAGGCACAGCATCGGTCAAAAATGTGCTGCACTGTTCGAGTGCTTCTGCGACTGAGGCATAAACCGATATGCCGTAGGCAAAGCACTCGCTTCGTCTCATTCGAAACTGACATTCGACTTCGACAATTCGACGATTCGTCATCGTTCTACTCCACGTTGTTCTTCGATTCCTTTCGAACACGATGACTGCTCTCCATCGGGTTTCACTGTATCGTGTTTCTAATCCTTAATTATACCTTCAGCGGGTGAATTCAAACGAGGTTCTATCAGCAAGCTTCGTCGCGAGGCGTTTGACCACACTTCAGTTCCGACCTCGACTACAACTTCGACAGTCAGCCGACTACTTCCGTTTCTAATGCGACAAGCTTCGGTCATGAAGTCGTCTTCGTGTTCATGCATCAGGTCGCCGAGACAGGAGGGTCATCAATTAGAGATCATACCGTAGCTCAACTCAGTAAACGATGCAAAGGAAGCAACGAAGATGCTTGATAACTGACTTGTCTACCACCCGCTCGTACAGATGAATCGTAATGCCGAATAATCTGCACCGATGCAGGGTGAAAAAGGCATCTCCATTTTCCTTTCTACCTCATCGTCCTCGGCTGATGACAGCATAAGAAAGCTTTTCTGACATAACAGGCGGTACATAAAAACTTTTTACAACGGTTCCGTCTATTCTAAGCTATACGCACTCAACCAGTGTTATATGCAACCGTACTTACTACAACATTTACCACATTAGATACTCGTGTACGCAACTGTATTAGATACTTGTGTATGTAATTTATACTACATTCACGCAGCAGATAACAGATACAGTAGTACATAAAACATACTGACATATTGATACTTAAGTAGTACATAAACGCCATTCAGAACCGTTGTATCTCATACATGCTATATACACATAACTATGTAAGATACAACAGTACTTAATAGATTATTTCGTACATATATTATATGAAGCACTGGTGTGTATCAAATATATGCCACATACACATAGCATATAATAAATGTACGTTAAATACGGTAGTATTTAATACACATGCGGTAACTATTGTATGTACTGTGTGTATTTAACATCTATTACATACAGCCGTACCTACCTATTATAGTACTTGTATCAGACTTGTACTATGTACGGTAATAAGTACTGGTACATCTAATATATGGTATGTGTATATAGCATATATCAGGTACAAGTGTACCTACCAAGGCGTAGGTTTCACATACTGTCTGCACAAAAAAG